GACAGCTTAGAGTAATACCAGCTGATAGGATTTCTAAAATCCCTTTTGAAGTAATGGCCCATGATTTTATCAACAGCTGGAGAGAGGTACAGGCAGTTTTAAAGGTCTGCAGGTCTCAATGAATTTAACAAAAGGTGTAAATCCTGCATTACGGGCAGCTCTAGCACTGTCTCCTCTCTCCCTTCCCGCAGAGTGCAGCATTAAAAATAAAACTTTCCTACAACATGGCATCTTTATTCAAGCCAATCGAGCAACCCTTCACTTATTACATAGCTAATAACTTTGAAAAGCCCCAGATTTAATATAATTTCTAGTTTTATCAAAAGATGACCTTTCATTTCAAAAATATGGAAACTTTGAACTTAATCTGGTTTCCCCATTTTCAAGGAAGTTGAAATAGAAACCAAAAAGATGGAACTTTAGAGTATGAAATCAGTGAAGTAAATTCTTTCTTTTCAGTCTCTAACTCTCCTTAGGGAAAAAAAAAAACCTAAGATGAAATAGTGAGGGCTTGTCTGAGCAGGAAACTTTTATCTGCTAGATACATAACTGCAGGTATATCAGCGCCTAAGTCCTTTTACTACGTCTTTCAGCTCCATTTAAGCAATTTGCAACGTCATAAGCTAAGTTTTAAAGAGGAAAAGAAAACCATGATTTGAAAAAAAATGCTTGTAGCATTTTTAAACACAGGAGTGTTCACATGGGTAGTTAAAAACAAATTCAACCCTGGTATAAATTCATACCTTGGCTTTCATGTTTAAATTTTCCCACGTAGACAATTTCTCAGAGGAAACATGAGGGTTTGGGGGGGGAAGGGAGATGGGAACTGAAAGCACTTTCCAAGTGCAAAGCAGAATGAGAACTAGAAGCAAGTTCTAGATGCAAGGTTTAAGAAGAAGGTTTCCCTCAGATGTTATTCCCTTGTCCTTTCCACTCTTTCTTCTGTTCATTTTAAAATAAGAGAAAAAGAAAGAAAACCTGAGGCAGCAACTCAAAGATAGACACCATCACATTTAAAATTCGTGAGATTATGGTGGGTTTTTGATATTTTGAAGTAAGAAAAGACATGAACAGAAACTCAGCTCTTTTTCTGACACATCACAGATACTAAAATCTTGGCTTTCTCCATAATTTACATGGAGCCACGTGTGCTGTGTGACTCCATTGAACCAGCGAGGGGGGAAGCAGCATCTCCATGAGGACACTGGACTTCCTGCAGATCGAAAATAAAGCATGTGTCCCCCTTTCAAACAGCCCTGCCTCTGAACTGAGCGAGCTGTTAAAAATCACCCTATTTAATGAATGAGGTAAAATGAACACTTCTTGGAAATGAGCATGTTTTGTGCCCTGAGGCGTTTTGTCCCTGCCCAGAAAGGCTGCATCACCACGATGGCACTCGTTCTGGCTGGCCTGGCACACAGGAGTGACATTGGTTTATGCTCACAGGAACATACAGCCTCCTTTCTTCCATCACGTGCATTTATGTCTTTCCCAATACCCAGTTACCAGGTTTCTGTCTTCCAGAAACAGACAATGTGCTTATTGCAGCAATCCAAACAAAAACATCTCCTGTATTTTGCAGAAGACACAACGCACCAGCTGCCAATTTTGCAGGTGTTACCAGGCAACTCCAACACAAGAGTGTTTTCCTGGAGTATAATGGAAGTCAAAGGAAAAAGGTGAACAATTCCTATACTGAAAAATTCAGCAGAAAACGTGCTACCACCAGACTTTGTTACATCACTCCAAGCCATGCTGAAGCTGCCTGGCAGGCAGTTATCGAGGTGGGGACTCCAGGGCTGTCAGCACAGCCACGCAAAAAAATAATGAATCAGACCTCCTAAGAGAAACTATTTTGAAGTCACACTCTGCTTCCTGAATTTTCTGGGGATACTGGGAAAATATCTAGATTTCCTTGGCAGCAGAGAAGGCAGCTGTGGAAAACCAATGTGTCTTAAAAGGAAGTCACAATTGCCAAGCAATTACTTGATTCCAAGTGCTGGGGATTTCATGGGTATAAGAAACAACCTCATCAAAAAAAACATTAGCTTTATGGTAGAGGCCATAAAACTCAACCATTCTATTTTGGATGTTGCAGGAGACCCTAAAGCCCTCCAAGCAGGCTAGCTAAATGTTGCACAGAGAAGGACTGGACATTGGATCCCCTTTCCTCTGGCAGGAGCAGCACAGGGAAACAAGACAGTCATGATTTCCCTTTTACAAGGCTGTTTCCCCTCCCTTGCTTCATCGCATCTTGGAAAAAAACCAAACCCACGACAAAACAAAACAAACCCAAAACACAAACCAAAAAGAAAAGAGAAGATGGAGAGCGTATCCTCCAGTTGTGTTCTTTGGTGCCGCAAACAAAGATTTAGGGGTGGGGTTTTTTCCCCATTTCAGGATCCTATCTGTGTAAATGTAGTACAGACTGTAGGAAAAAGATCGTGTCTAAAGCTAGAAGTGAAGCAAAATAAGTGAGCCGTTTTCATCTTTACAAGTACTTACAGGTGCCTCCAAAGGGTCTTGTTTGATTCAGATGAGCTTTTGATTACACTTACCCACCTTCATCTGTGTATTTGGTTCAACTGGATCTGGTCATGAAATCACATGAAAATGAAGTTATTCCATAAAACCTTTGATATTTCTTGGTTATGGGTAAGAAATAAATACTTTAAGCCAGGAGCTACATTTTTTCACAAGTTTCCCTGCATTTAGCCAGAGTCACGTTTAAGACGATTTCTGTTTTTATTAAAAGGCATTTACCCAATGGACTGCCACGTGCCTCTGCTGCAATTTAGCCAGAAAAATTAATTATGAGATCAGTAATTGTGCTACAGTGAGAATTATAGGACATCTCCAGAAAAGTGTTAAAAATCTAATTATTTTAAGCTTCCCTGGCACATTCATGCAAAGTTTTATTAAGTTTACATCCAGAGCACCAAGATAGCACACGATGTGAAAATATCCTGCCTCGCCTGACGCTACAGAGAAAAACATGATATTTGCTGTTTTCAAAGCCAGTAGGTCAAAAGTCACTAAGGAGGGACCCAAATAGGTGAAACGCTCACTGGCATTTCCCCCCTCCGAAAATGCAGGTGGGTCCATAGGCTTTGGATCCCTGAACTGGAGCAGATGTTGCACTTCTGGAGAAGGTTTTGACTACTTTTAGCTCACAGCAACCAAGAGATCTCAGAGCGTTCCCATCATTTTAGAGCACGCTGATGATTCATACATGGTTACATGGCAATATTTACAATATTTACTAAGCTCTCAGGAGGCAAATTCATTAGGAGATTAGTCAGCTGTCAAGCACCCATTCCCTTACATAAGAATTATATTCTCTAAATAAAGGTTCTCATCTCCAACTTGAGCTTCTGCCCTACCACCTACTCGCTCTTTTCGTAGTTTCATAATCAGTGAATGAAGACAGGCCATTAAGATTTTAGAGATTGCAGAAGAAATGAGCATGACACCGACAATGAGAAATGGAAATTTGAGTGTAGCAACTTTTTTTCTCAAGGAAACTAAGCATAATCAGAGAAACACAACTTTTGATTTATTCAGATCCAATCCCAGTTGCAATGGAAACAGGCTTAGGTGGACATAGATTCCTCTCTCTCCAAAAGCAGCTAACAGCCTCAAGAGCACTCACCGAGCTCTGCCCGCCTATCAGGAGGGCAACTGGTTTTCTGGTTTGTTTTGGGGTTTTTTTTCAGTGCCTACTTCCAGTAGGTCACACTGCAGGCTCTAGTAAACCACTGTGTTCCAGGAGATACCACACAATTTTTGTCTTTACATGTGAGTACTTGGGAGCACTGATTTCCATTCCTGTTTCTCGCTCTATCCAAAGCACGCGCTACTCGTCGCTAAAACGGAAGGGATCTGGGCAATGGAGCACGACAGGAAGTTTGGCAACTACTACAAAGCACACTGCAAATACACCCACAAACAGGAGGAAGAAAATATTTGTTAAAAATCAGCAGAGCAAGACCTCATTCCTAGTGAATGTTGCTGCTGCCTACAGTTGTTTTCTTCTTGTGTGCTGTTAAATAAAGCTGTCCTAAGCAGGACAGACCAAGCATAGTGTATGCCCTTCTCGTCTCAAAGTTGGGAGCCACTCACAGGTTTATGAGAGCTCCACACCTGCAGGAACTCTCTCACTATTTATTATTGCATTTATCTCCTCTTGAAAAAGCATCATCAAACGTAGCAAGTCAAAAGTCCAGCCCTTGAGGTTACAAAGCAAAGGATATTGATTCTCAGCCTGCCTTTGCACTCACCTTTCCCTTTGCTACCACAATACCACAAAATCCTGGCGGGTCAGGTTACTCTGCTGTTTATCTGGCTCTCCTCTGAGCCATATGTTGAAGGCCCCCCTGAGGAGGCCCTAGGGTAGCATTTCATCTCCTAGAGACCAAGTGGGCTTTTACCATGACAGAAGAGGAGATGGGAGCAACAGCGAGTCTGAAGAAAACTGGGTTAAAAAGTGTTATGAACCGGCTTTGTGCTTTCTCATGAAAAACCTTCAGCTGGATGGAGCAGCGAGGGTAAGTACCAGGGCTTTGTTAAAAAGTGTTATGAACCGGCTTTGTGCTACATGGTGCTTTCTCATGAAAAACCTTCAGCTGGATGGTGCAGCGAGGGTAAGTACCGGGGCTTTTTAAAAGCTTTTAACCCTCCCCAGACCTCGGTGTGGCCCCCACGGACCAGCAGGTTGCAGCCTTGTCATCTCTGACAGCTTTCTGCTTCCCTTTTAAAAGCTTTTAACCCTCCCCAGACCTCAGTGTGGCCTCCACGGACCAGCAGGGCTGTAACCAATGCAGGTTGCAGCCTTGCCATCTCTGACAGCTTTCTGCTTTCCTCACCAGATGAAGGTGACTGAGCTGAAGCACACGTGGACTTGGGTTTTCTTTTTTCCCCCCTCAGCTCCAAAACACAATCTGGTGGTAGCGGTGCCCGGCTGCCAGCGGCACGCAGCCCTAGGAACCCACCAGGTGAGGATGGACCCCTGCGGGGACCCAGTGGGCACCCACAGCAACCCTCCTGCCTCGGGGGCCCCTTTGGTCCTGGGGACACGAGTCCTGCCCCTGCTCCCTCTCCTCCTGGCGCTGGTACCTCTCTGTGTGAACACGCCGGCGGCGGTTGCCAAGGGATCAAATAACCCACATGAAGAAACAAAGAGCCTGCAAGGAATCCCAGACGCAACCGTCCTCCTGGGGAAAATATTCCATTATCCAGTGCCAGGGTTTGCCTTTCAGGGAAGGATAACTCAGTACAAGGTAATGCTATTCAACGCACTTCTTGGTACAATCCTGCAGAGAACGGCCGTTCGCTTTGTGTCGTTAAAAATCTCCTTCTACTACAGAAGTGCCTCAGATGTATTAGAAATAGGCAGACCTGATGGCAAAAATCTCACCATTATTCACTGCCATGTAGCAGTTACATACTAAGCAAATAAACAGAGCTCCTGCACAACATGTACTTTATCTACCTGCAGTCCAAAGAATTCAGGATTTTAAAAAATAGCCAGTAAGCGTTATCGTTACATTAAAAAAACATACAAAACAAGCCCTACGTGAAAATCAAGGCACTGTGGTTTCTCGATTATTAAACGGATGATTTGTGGCTGTTCTGAACTTTGGGTAGAAGTGGCAATTATGTGAAACTAGAGCAGTAAACCATTTCCCATCTCTAATTCTGCTTATCTGCCATCCTCTTCCGGAGCAGGTCACCTTAGCCAGCGGTGCAGATTTGCCAAAATGGCTGGACTTCAACCCCAGCACAAACACACTGCAAGGGCTGCCCATGGCGGGGGAGAGCGGCGTATACCTGCTGAACATAGCTGCCCCTGGAAGGACACATGCCCCAAAAACACCAAGAGCTGCTGGAAATTTCACCATCCACGTTCAGGATGACACCTTTTTCCTGGACACGGAGGAGAGCCTGAAGCTCATGCCAAACAGCTACCAGTAAGTACTGCTCGCTTCCAACTCCTTTTGCCTTAATCAGCGCGGAGGGGCGGAAGGGGGAAATTAAAATAGAAAAAGAGGTAGGTGCTCCCGAGCTGACACAGGGTGGCTTTTTTTCCTACCGTGGGGAATGACATCAGGGAAACAAAAACAAAACAAAAGAACCCCAAAAAAACGTTGAATGAGCTCATGTTGAATTTGAAAGCAGGAGGCTTCCTTGTGCCTGAGCAGTACACGAAGACTGCAAGCCCAGTGGCACTGGGACACTGATTCTCCAGGTGGCCACTCTACGGGTGTCACCCAGCCTCCCTGCCCCAGTTGGGAACCAGAGCTCTTCTGTCAGCAGGGAGAGAGGCAAGCTCCCAGGCAAGGCTCTGAACCGCCTCCACAGCACACTATTTCCACTAATGGTACCTTCCTAATGATGCCTAATGGACTAGGAATAGCCAAGTGAACTATTTACATAATGAGGATAGTGTCTGGAAAATGCAGACCACGCTGCTGTGTTCTACACAGGCAAGGGGATTAAAATTAGAGGCAAGGGGATTAAAATTAGCACTCCCTGAAGTTAACAGAGTGGGAAACATACGTGTATCCAGTAGGAGGAAGTTTTGGACTGAGGTAAAACTGAGTGATACACGTTCGTAAGATGATAGACTAAGTCCAAAACAGGTATCTTCATAAAAACAGGGGGACAGATAAATGACTGTGAACCAATACCATTTTGGACTTTCAATATCAGGTGTGGGAAGGAAGTCCCCATCACTTCTGCTGAAATCATTCTCTCTACTGGAGCAGAAACCCTGGGAGCACAGGAACGCCTCTACATCGTGCACACGATGGCGGAGTATCTCCACCTGGATTCCTCCCTCCTAACCCTGTTGCAATACAGAGACTCAGCACACAGAGGCTCGCAGAGCCTGACCGTACTGGCTGAAGACTCTGGGCACCTTGACTTTGGGGTGAACCATTACGTAGGTCTCTCCTGGCCCGTGAAGTGTGGAGGGTTTGCTGCGCTTCACGAATTCATCCAGGTCCTGCAGCACAACGTTGACTCGCATCACCTCTCACAGCTGCTAGGGTATGAAATTGCTGGCTGGAGAATACTTAGGAGAGGGGATTATGAAAGAAAGTCTCCAAGACGACAACGTAGGCAATTAAGGATCACACCAACACCTACATTAAAACTGACTGGAATTACCCAGAGATCAGTTGCAGGAGATGCTTCCAGGCCTTTGTCCTCTACTGTACCAAGCCACTTACTCACACAACTTGTGGTATTGCCTACTCAGAGTTTACCATCTTTCGGTGAAGAAAGTATAACAATGGCAAGTTTTAAGATGGATATTTTTCTGCATCTTGTAAGTCAAGAAAGTTTGCTCACCTTAGAAATGAACTCCACATGGGACATGCCAACTAACCCACCAGCATCTATTATGTTTGCAGACTCTAGTTTTCCAGATCTTTCACCTTCACTGACTACTAAAACACTTCTCTTCAATGAACCAGAAGTGCTGCCTACTGGAGCTTCTGGCATGTCCTTGCTGGTAGAGCAGCTGAAGCCTCATGTGCCTGAGATGGACTCATATTTTCTTTCTAGTAAATCAGAAGTATCCACATACCATTTCCTACAGGACGTCACTTCAGACACAGACCAGCTTTCCAGGCCCATGTACACTTGGGTGATAAACACTCTTCATGAATGGCCTCACAGCTCAGCAGAGGCATTTCCTTCTAAGACAGAATTCCATGTATTTTTGTCAGGAGCAATGTCAGTCTCAGAAGTGCCAGATTACAGCAAAGTTCCAGAACTTGAAATGCTTGCTAGTGCATCCCTCTCTCCAGAAACAGTCCCTTTGCTATTCCCAAAAGCCTCAGTAAGAGCCACAACTTTACCTGACTTCACCCTTCCCATCGATGACACCTTTCCCCCTGTGCTAGCAAGTGGCAGTCTGAGCCAGCTATCTGCCAGTAACTATGACCAGTTATCTAAACCATTGATGACTACCCCACTGCCCAATGGGTTCCCATTTGCCGGAGGCAAAAGCCCCGTTTCTCCTGTAACACAGAAAGAAGCACAGACCCTTCATCCCAAATTGAATTTCAGCCACGCAGCCTCAGCCTGCTTTTCTAACACGTTACATGGCACTTCCCCTAGTAAAGCTGAAGCACCTTGTGAACCAAGACTGATCACTCTGTCCCATTCTGATAGCACTCCAGCTCTTACTCTGCCAGTAGACTTCTCTAGCTTTGACATGACTGAGCTATCTAGACCAACAAATACACTTCATTCTTCTTACGGCGGCAGCATGCTCAGACCAGAGATGCAGTCTGCAAGTGTTTTATCCAGCAGCACGAAGGAATGGTATTCAGACAGAGATCTGGAAACAAGAAGGATTCTGCCAATCATCACGGAGCCTACCCTGGAGTCACACAACATCTCAGCCATCAAGCTGGATGCTGCAGAAGCACCTCTGGAGACTTTATTCAATTCCACTTCTTATGTGTCCAGCAGCATACCAGGTATGTTGAAGATTAGCCTTTCTATTCATCTTCTTTCCTGCCCCGAGAGTCCTGACAGAATAATTCAATACAGGTTCTCCTGCAAAAGCAGGACTTCACCGCAGTACAGATGTGTTAGCAGCAGCGTTCCACAACGGGAAAGTAATTTTTTTCATCCAACTTGGTCAACCCCAGCTTTGGCCACCCTAAGTAAGGAAGGGTGTGGACCTACTGAAAAAGCTCTGAAAGAATACATGGAGGGGCAGAAGCCGAGAAAACATGACAAACTGAAATTAATTTGTTAGAAGACTGAGGAAAGATGCAGATTTATGTAACAGTCTACCAAAAAGAGGAATGAAGTGCTTTCAGTATCCCCAGGGAACTGAAGTAGTACTAATGAACTTCAATTGCAGCTAAGATGATTTAAGTTAGACATTAGATAAACTTTCTCACAGCAAGGATAATAAAACATTTGAAGAGATGCTTGGGGAACATTGTGGAGGGTCTGTGAGAACAGAACAATAAATATTTATCAGAAATGACACAGAAGTAGTTGTGTATCCTGCAGAGTATGGAATTAGACCAGACACTCTTTATAGCCCTCCTCCAACTGCATCAATCTGTGACACAGGCTTAAGTACACACTAGACTATAGAGATGACATGTTTGTGGGACCAGTTGGGTAAATTTGCACATTTGAGGAGATGCTTGGGGAACATTGTGGAGGGTCTGTGAGAACAGAACAATAAATATTTATCAGAAATGACACAGAAGTAGTTGTGTATCCTGCAGAGTATGGAATTAGACCAGACACTCTTTATAGCCCTCCTCCAACTGCATCAATCTGTGACACAGGCTTAAGTACACACTAGACTATAGAGATGACATGTTTGTGGGACCAGCTGGGTAAATTTGCAGGATTATGTCTGAATGGGCTTGTATTACATCTGTAACTTAAATACTAAGTGCAGCACTCGGAGCCAAACTATTCCTTCATTGTAGAGTGACCCGATGGCTCCTATTTTTAATGCATTGACCTTGTTACCTCCCAGCACTACATCAACCCGTCTTTTGAACACCTCCAGGGATGGTGCCTCAACCACCTCCCTGGGCAGCCCATTCCAATGCCTGATAACCCTTTCAGTGAAAATATTTTTCCTAATATCCAGCCTGAACCTCCCCTGGCGCAACTTGAGGCCATTTCCTCTCGTCCTGTCGCCTGTGACTTGAGAAAAGAGACCGACCCCCACCTCTCTACACCCTCCTTTCAGGGAGTTGGAGAGAGCAATAAGGTCTCCCCTCAGCCTCCTCTTCTCCAGGCTGAACACCCCCAGCTCCCTCAGCCTCTCCTCATAAGACTTATTCTCCAGACCCCTCACCATCTTTGTCGCCCTTCTCTGGACGGGCTGAATGGGCTTGTATTACATCTGTAACTTAAATACTAAGTGCAGCACTCGGAGCCAAACTATTCCTTCATTGTAGAGTGACCCGATGGCTCCTATTTTTAATGCATTGACCTTGTTAATGCCCTTAAGAACCATCTTCTTTGTAAAACTTTACTAGACCTACGTTAAGTCTATACCCATAGTGCAAGACTGCAGTCTGAAACATTTAGGTTTGCAATCAGGTGTCCAAGAAAGCATCTGCCAAAGCCCACAGATGGACAACACAGCCCTAACATGCTCCCGTTAACACTCTTGCAAACACAGGCCATCTAGAGATGTTAAATATCTTTCTGCTCCAGCGAGAGAAGCCAACTGGGTAAAGAGTTCCCTGATTTTCTAACGGGGAGCTTGAACTCCAGCTTCCTTCCCATGCTGGCAGATGCTGGCAAAGAGTTCTCAACCGCATGCCACAGAAGCTTTTAAACTACATTCCCAGTCCTATAGCAAATTATTAACATCAGATTCCTTTTACAGAAATATAAATGATCTTTCACCTTAAACTGTAACGATTTTCCCATTTCCACAGGAGTGGCTCAGACACTACTGCCATCGCACCAGGACCCAAGCACCTTGCTGTTTCCCACATCTGGAAGGCCACAGTCTGTGGACAGCACATGGATTCTTCCTCCATTTTCTGTTTCACAAGAGCTGCAGAATATAACCCCAGGTAAAAAAGAAGTTTAATTCCGTGTTCTTAGTTCTGAACATAGCTGTCATCAACCTATTTATCCATTTTGCAAGGTTGCTCTGGTTTCCTACAGTAGGACCCGTGCAGTTCTCAAATTATTATGACCTAAAGATTCGTGTCCTTATGAATTAATCCCTCCCTATTATTTACATTGTCTAATATATAAGGAGAGGATGAGATTAGGGCATGATTTTACTCAAATCTTGCAATTTGGTCCAAAGTGTAGGAAGCACAAATAAGTAAGATCCAGAAAGTGCAGAAAGACCTCCCTGTGTCCTGCTCTTCCCCCTTACTCCCTAAGCCAGCCCACGAGCTCCACCCAACAGTCACAGAATTGAAAGCCCACGAGCTCCACCCAACAGTCACAGAAGACTTCCTTTTGAATTTGCCACAGCATTTTATCATCCTACAATTTACTTGGTGTCCACTCACGTATTCATAGGAGCTCTTCCAACTGGGCAGACGTGCAGCACTCAAAGTAATCCTGTCCCAAGCAGGGTGTCTGCCACCTCCAGAAGTGGGGGGTGATGCTGAGACAGCCACTGCTTGCCTGATTAATCTGAAATTATTCTTGATGCTGAACACAGCTCAATGGCACAAGGAAAAACCAAACATATTCTCACACAATCCCCAAACAAAACAAAAAAAAAGGTGGATTAGTGTTGAAAATAGGAGATGAAACAACAACATGGTTTAATAACTACCTCATACGCGAGTTCCATTTCAGGATCTGGTAGAGTTAAGAGTTGTTTCTTCACGAATTACAGAATCACAGAATCTTAGTGGTTGGAAGGGACCTCTGAGATCATCGAGTCCAACCACAAAAAAAAAAAAAAACACACAAAAAACCACCAAACAAATACAAAACACACCACACCAAACGTCCACCAAAACCACCGCACCCACCAACTAAACCCCACACTCAACACCTCACCATAAACCAATAATCTTGGGCACTAGAGCATGCCCTGAAGAGCCATGTCTACACGTTTCTTAAATCCCTCCAGGGATGGTGACTCCACCCCCTCCCTGGGCAGGCTGTTCCAGGGCCTGACCCCCCTCTAAGTAAAGTCATTCTTTCTAATATCTAATCTAAATCTCCCTGGCTGCAACTTCAGACCATTTCCTCTGGTCTTGTCGTTCGTCCTTTGGGAGAAGAGGCCAACCCCTGCCTCTCTACAACCTCCTCTCCGGGAGTTGTAGAGGGCAATGAGGTCTCCCCTCCGCCTCCTCTTCTCCAAACTAAACATGCCCAGTTCCCTCAGCCTCTCCCCATAGGACTTGTTCTCCAGGCCCCTCACCAGCTTGGTGGGTCTCCTCTGGACACGCTCCAGCACTTCAATGTCCTTCCAGAATTGTGTCTGTTTCCCAAGAGGACACTTCACATAGAAACATAATGGTGAGATTCTGTATTTTCTGAGGATCTCAGCTTGTGCAAGTGCACTCCCAGGGGCTCCTGCAAACTTAATTTTGGGAATAAAGGCAACCCAAGGTAATGCCTGACGACAGCCCTGCTAACGAGATACCTGCGCTAGAGTCTTCACACGGTGAAGTGTCACGGGCAGCCTGGAGTGTAACCCAGACTCAGATTTCAGTAGACCATCCAACCATACAAGGAGGGACCCTGAAGTTTATCTAAGCTTTCCAGCAACACAAAGTGCAAAAATAAATGTGTTCAAGCAAGAAGCCTGCAATAATAGGAAGGAACATCATCCTTATTCTTTGGTATTTAAAGCCTTAGAAATGAGACATAATTAACTGCCACCATGAAGGAAATGCATCACCTGAGAGGCATATTGTGACATTTCTGTGTAAAAGTTACCAGAATAAGTTGTTATGGTTTGAAAAGGCACTATACAAGACCTGACTAATACGTTAGGCTAAAAAGAACATTGTTATGCATATTTACAACTCTTTAAATAAATAAATATGTAACTTTATTTGCATAAGTATATTTAAGATGTGATCAAGGACAACACTTTACTGCACTGTTAAAAGCTTAAGTTTCAGTAGAAGTGAGGCAAGTCCAGAATTTCCCTTACCAGTTCCCAGTATCTGTTGTCATTTGCAGGTCAGAGGCTTGGGTTTGAAAAAAACAGAGTGCTTTATTGGATTTTAAATCGTTACCACTCAATGTATTTTCAGTCTAAGTCTCCCAAGGACTAGCACGTGATCACCATTTAAAAATGCTACAGAAACTCTAGATTTCCAACACGTTTTCGTCTTAATGCAATTGGGGAAAGTATTTTAAAAAAAAATCTTGAAATTGTCTTCCAAAATGATGCTGTAGCTAGGTGGCTACGCTCAGTTACCAACTTCATAGGAAAGAAAGATTTGAAATGTCTACCACAAAGGGAAATAATGTAAGAAAAGCAGTAAGGAGTTCTGCTGACCCTAAAAAAATTCATAAGGAGTACTGTTTCTCAAAAAGGAGTCTAGAGGGCAATGTAACACTTCTCTTCTGAAAAGTGGCAGATGACAAAACAAGGGGCAATAGGCACAAAACTGCATCTGAGGTAAGACCTCAGGAAAACTTTTTCACTCGGGGGTTAATGCAGCAATGGAACAAGTCACCCAGAGAGACTTGGGACACTTCATCCTCAGATGTTTTTAAGACTCAACTAGGCAAAGCCATGCTTGATCTCATTTCCTCTTGGCTACAGCTCTGCTTTGAGTGGGAGGCTGGCTGATGACCTCCAGAGGTCCCTTCTAGCCAACATGCTCCACAGTCCTACGAGGCTGCCGAGATTTCTTTGCTATCAATTAGTGTCAGATGGCTATTTTTTTTTTCCCCTCATAATTCTTTCCTTTCCTCCCTCCTCTCCAAAGGGCAAGCAAACACTTCCCCAAAGGTTGTTCATTCCATTAAATTCCTAACAGCAACTATTGGATGCCTCTTCTTTTTTCCTATACCTGCCAATACATTTTATGATGAGGAAGACGGCAACTCAACTCGGTTATCTCTACAAATCGTTCCAGCTGATGGCTCTCCATGGGGATCAGAAAGCTGGCTGCAATTTAACACCTCTCAGCAAACCATGCATGGCTATCCTCTCGAGATCGATCTCCAGTATTCACCTCAGGAGTTTGTGCTGTCTGCCACAGATTCAGGAGGACTGACTGCCCGGGAATCCTTCACCGTTGATCTTCTGAAGACCACCGACGTACCGTGCCACCTTTACACCGTCAGAACAAAAAACAGCTACTACTCTTTCCTGAGAGAGAGAAAAAGGATTAGTTTGTTTCTAGAGAAGCTCTCCCTCTATTTGAACTCCAGCAGTCCCCAAGACATCGTGGTGACCGCTCTCAAACCCGGGTCCACGGTAATCTCATGGTATAACCGTTCGCTATGTACAAGTGCCAACACATCTTCATGCTGGTGCGCTAAAGATGAAATCCAGGAAGCACTGGAGAAGTTAAGAGTGCCAGGTGGGCATGTTAGCCCACACTTTGTCCAAGCAATGTTGCCAGAATACAAAATTGAAGTAATTTTCAACATTTCATACAGCAAAGTCTGCTTTTCCAGTACAAAGCCATTCAATGGGTCTTTCAGCAGTACTGTTCCTACACTTCAAGACAAGAATGACACCCGGATTAGGAAGACCCCATCTGCCTTACTAAGCAGTCTCTGTGTCACTGTTGGGGTGGTCCTGATGCTATTGGTTTACTGGTTTTGCAAGTGTCACAGGAAGATTCCCAGACCACAGTCTGTGACATTTCAGAGGAACTCTCACTTGAGCCATGCCAACGTAGAACTGGATGTCCTGAAGCCTCACAAAGCACCTGTACAAGAGTGCAGGGCTTCACTTTCACCTCAGTTATGGATACCACCTTCGCCATCACTTATCTCCCACAAGCAGTATTCTAGGTCAATACCACTGCCTCACATCATACCATCCTTCCAGCCACCAAAATACCAACTCCCTCCCTGTTATCAAGAGGGTACGACTACCCAAAATGACCAGGGCAATATCTATTGACTTAAGATTTTTTTTTTTTAAATGATATTAAATCTACAAAAAGAGAATTTGTACTAGAATGCATTATCCTTATCACTCAGAAAAAAAAGTCACACGCAGTTAGTGATTTCATCATTTTTAAATTCAAATTAGAACACGCTTAACCTATGCCTGAGAAAGAGGCAGTAGCGAAAACAGAACCCTGGAACTAAGTACTAGACTCAAATCACAGAATCACAGAATCTTCTAGGTTGGAAGGGACCTTAAAGATCATCTTGTCCAACCGTCAACCTAACTGACAAAAATAGTCACCCACACAACAAACAAGGAGCATCATCACTAAACCAGACCTCCCAGCACTACATCAACCCGTCTTTTGAACACCTCCAGGGATGGTGCCTCAACCACCTCCCTGGGCAGCCCATTCCAATGCCTGAGAACCCTTTCAGTGAAAAAATTTTTCCTAATATCCAGCCTGAACCTCCCCTGGCGCAACTTGAGGCCATTTCCTCTCGTCCTGTCGCCTGTGACTTGAGAGAAGAGACCGACCCCCACCTCTCTACACCCTCCTTTCAGGGAGTTGGAGAGAGCAATAAGGTCTCCCCTCAGCCTCCTCTTCTCCAGGCTGAACACCCCCAGCTCCCTCAGCCTCTCCTCATAAGACTTATTCTCCAGACCCCTCACCATCTTTGTTGCCCTTCTCTGGACCCGCTCCAGCACCTCAGTGTCTTTTTTATGGTAGGGGGCCCAAAACTGGACACAGCCCTCAAGGTGAGGCCTCACCAGTGCCCAGTACAGGGGGACAATCACCTCTCGGGTGCCAAGTAAAGGAGTCTGTGGGTGAGGTGGGCAGAGTTCTGTGCCTGTACCACTCAGAACAAGAAAATGCATACCAAGCTGATGCGGGTATACACGTGTAAAAGAATTCCTAAAAACTTTTCAAATACTTTGAAATCCTTTCAAGCTTAATAGATTAACATATACAAAATTTAATCTGTAACTTAATTATGGATTAAACTACTTAATACGTAACTTCCAATTTTAATTTGTAAACTTTTAGAAGTGAGAAAATCTTCCTTGAATCTGAAAGTATAGCGGGAAATAGGACCAAAGTATCACCAGTACCACCACCACCACATAGAAAGGAAAGGAAATTCATACAGTCCTTTCCAGAATTGCCACAGCACTTTCCTCGAGAAGGCAGATCACCAAAGAGCCTCAGACCACTGATGTTACAACTCTGGAGAGAGAGTTTCACTAAGCTGCCAAGAACAGGAACTGGGAGGATAACTATCCTGTCATGGTGTGTGCTTGTTGGCTAAGTCAACCCAAGGAGGGCAGCAAAGCTGCCAAGAACAGGAACTGGGAGGATAACTATCCTGTCATGGTGTGCGCTTGTTGGCTAAGTCAACCCAAGCAGGGCAGCCCAACCAGCACAAACACTGCTCTAGCACGGGGAGCAGACACTAGAGAGCAGCAAGTTAGCCAAAGAATAGCTTTTGCAGGCTAAAGAACACAGGCACAAATGCATACCCTCACTGTAAGGAAACCAGGTAGAACTGGATCCAGTTTGGGAGCAGGCTGCTGACCAGTCCAAAGGGAATCCCCAAAGCCCAGGGGTAGATCTGGGAATAGTCCACAACTAAGAGATGAAAGCAGCTCTCCAGGGGTCCACTTTTTAAGTTGTAGTGCAGAATAATGTTTGCAAACAACGGGATGCCAGCATGATGTACCAACACAGGTCCCTGCAGGCTCTGCTGGCTTACCTTCTCCTCAAACTTCAGATTCACAGCACCCAGCAACTCCAACCACAGTACAGCTCAACCAGCAGTCATGGCATGGAAAGAACTTGAACAGCTCACCACCAGCTACAAGGTTACCAAGGGCTACAGGATGGAAGTATCAGAACAGATGAAACTCTATTTGTGTGCACATCTTACATACTACACAACTGTAGTTGTAACACACTTCTGGAAGCAGATGAACATGCACTAGTCAGCTATGCATATGAAAACTCCGCTAACAGGTTATGTTCTTTTTTTAGCACAGCAGTTGCCCTGTGAATATGACAGTAGAGACAAGATGTGCATCTTCTTGCATGAACGACTAGCTCATCTGGGTTTACAGTGCTGAATAGCTTTTTGGATAGTTGCAAATTCCTCTAGATGGCTACTTCAGTGCTTTCCAGAAGCCATCCAAAAGTCAACAAAGCAGCAGTAATGCGTTGTAGTTAAATAGTCGAGACACAAAAATCAGTAAAATAAAAAATCTAAAGGATTTCTGCAGGAAACATCAGCCTTTGCAGTACCACATGTCTCAGTAAGGCTCTTCAAATACAGGCCCACAGTCAACCACCTTGGAGAATTTGGGCCTGTTCATTTAATGACTTAACAGTCTTACCTGGCAGATGTTCCGCAGGTGGAAAAGTGTAGATTTAGTACATGAGTAAATGAGCTAAACAAATACCTATTTTAATAGCAGGAATAGAATAGTACATGAGTAAATGAGCTAAACAAATACATATTTTAATAGCAGGAATAGATTTTTTTTTTCTTTTCCTCTAATAAAGTATTTAATTCCTGTGCATATTTAAGGACTTCAGCTTAATATTAATGGCACGCCAGGAGATGGAATACAAGGCACAGGATAAGCTTTTCAGTCATACTTCTCTAGACCAGCAACAAATGGCAGAAAGCTGACATTTACATGTTCCCCAGGTTCCAGACTTTAAAATTCCCTTAGCAAACAAGAGAAATATCCAGACTGATATGCAGTACAATCTCATAAAAAAAAATCCAGAAACTTATGAGGAACAGCAATGCCATGGTAGTTTTCTCCATCAGAACATTTCAGATGGGGTGTCAAGACTGTGGTGATGCAGGACATCCTATGTTCAACTAAGTAGTGAAAACAGAAGTCTTCAGCTTTTAGGATCTCCAAAAAATTACACCTTGCTTCTGTAAAAGCTAGGTAAGTTTTAGAATATGATAAAAAAATATTATCACGCAAGTCCTCTTTTATCACTCGTTAAAAATGGTTCTAAAATCATTTAACAGAAAACACATCTACATCACAGTGGCTAAATAATCACCTTAAAACCAGACACAGTATTTTAACACAGTTGAAGAAAGGACTCTGCTACCAATGTAGAGCAAAGAAAAATAGATCTGAACACAGATACCACACGAGTAATCACTCACTATGGTATGTAAAGTTTCAGGTGAAGAAATACTAATGTATAAATTTAGTTTTAGAAAAGCTCATAAAAACATGTCTTAAATCAATTTTAACTGTAACTTATCAAATCTGTGAGACCTTCAGTTACTTACAGAAGCTTGAATAAAACAATGGATGCAGATCAGAAGGCCTGGAGAGCTTAGCTATTCAACTCAGCCCACTCAAGTTGACCCATTTGGAAGCCAACCCAAAAATTTTACAAAGGGTTAGACCACAGACATTGGGCAAGAGTTTTCCTGTTTGAGAATTCTACTCTCTCTTTGAGTAGAGCCTCTTTTTCCACTTAATAAACTGAAGACAGATCATCTACTGCCATTTCACAGTCATTACAATTCAGAGTAAGTCTCCCCATGATGTTCCAAAAGCTTAGACCTAAACCCATAGGTGTCTTACAGGGAATATTTCATCAAAAAGATAATTTAATGATTAGCAAAAATTTTATTTTACTTTTTCTTACAAAGAATTAACTCTAGCACAACTGCCTGAAAGGCTTTGCTTTCTAAAGATCATTTCTAGCCAATTATTAAAAGTCCTTATATCAACAACTCTTAGCTGTAGCTCACTCTCCCAACCCTTAGTTGAAAACCAAGACTGGCATTTTCTCAGCTCAGTGACTCAGTGTGTGGTCTTTTCCATAATTCTGGACTCCTGAAGAAGTTTCAGATAAATAAAAGTATTCGTGGACCAGAATTAACACTATTATCAGTTAACTATATATTTCTTGAATTTTATTTTTTTTTAAAAACAGTCATCACTGATTTTGAGATGTTAAACAATGCTTGTGGGAAAAGACTTTAACCTCTGACTAACATTTTTGATTACTTGATTTAGTCCATGGCAGCACAGGGGTTTTTTGTCCTAAAAACACGACTATAAAATACTTCAGGACAGCTCCTATTTGCACACTATTCATTTAATGTGATATGCAGATTTCATATTTTATAGCAAAAATAATAGAAAAATGTAAAAACCAATCAAAACAGAGCTATACAATTGTACTGAAGTGGTACCAATATCAATTCCAGCATTAAATATTTTTGCATTTCGGCCAAGTTTTGTCCAAAGAAACAATATTAATCATCATTGCCGGCCTGCTTTTCCATTTTCCGTCGTTTCCATTCTGCAATGCAAGACAACAATTGGTAAGGGTTAGTATTGGAAATATTGGAAATACAATCAACAGATTAAGAAAAAAAAAAAATCAGACTTCAATAGTTTTTTTTAATAAATATTTTTTACTTCCTGTCTAATCATCCTGTCTCTCTGTGCCCCCAACATACACAATCTTATTGCCTCTTAATACTTCTTACCACAAAAAGCTATCCATTACTAACTTCACCAAAAGACAAAAGTTCAGATTCTCTGTAGTCACATGAATATATTCCTAAAATCTGAGCCTTTAGCAATTTGTTTCAAGGTCTCTATTTTGACCCTTCTTACACTGACCATTGACCATCACCAGCTTACTGACTCAAGAGGAAGCTGGTTTGGTATTTCAGTATTTTTTAGTAGAACGTAGATGACTATCAACTTCATTATAGCACAGCATAAGATTCAACTATATATATGCAATATTTTTATATTAGCCATTCCTTTGGAAGCTAAAGCCAGCAACAGACTGGAACAAGAAATCTCAACTTAGCTACCATTTAACTCTCTGAAGTTTAAGACTTTTGCTGCAAGGGCAATCACTAAGGCACAGGGAAGACCATTTCCAAGCATTCAGCCTTGTTAGGCACAGATGCAAACAACCAAAAAGCAAACACTACTGTAGTTTTCCATCAATACTGATAGACAAAGGAATGTATTTCTACATTTTAATCCTCTAAGAAGTAAGGAGTCTTTTTTTAATGCTGTAACTGAAGTATTACTCCATATTGGTGACTGCTAAGATACTTGTAGTGATTCATTTAATGATACAAACCCATTTTCTTCTTTCAGATGTTGATATAGCTCAGCTTTATTGTTGACAGAGTTCAAACGACCAATAAATTCCTGGTGCTTCCTAGAGTTGGCAGTATTAATTCTGTTGCTCCATAAAGACAGCAAAGACATTGGCCCTAAAATTGCAAGTAAAGAGTCCAAGTGATGTAATTTCTGAGTTCTTTCAGTATTTTTTAGTAGAACGTAGATGACTATCAACTTCATTATAGCACAGCATAAGATTCAACTATATATATGCAATATTTTTATATTAGCCATTCCTTTGGAAGCTAAAGCCAGCAACAGACTGGAACAAGAAATCTCAACTTAGCTACCATTTAACTCTCTGAAGTTTAAGACTTTTGCTGCAAGGGCAATCACTAAGGCACAGGGAAGACCATTTCCAAGCATTCAGCCTTGTTAGGCACAGATGCAAACAACCAAAAAGCAAACACTACTGTAGTTTTCCATCAATACTGATAGACAAAGGAATGTATTTCTACATTTTAATCCTCTAAGAAGTAAGGAGTCTTTTTTTAATGCTGTAACTGAAGTATTACTCCATATTGGTGACTGCTAAGATACTTGTAGTGATTCATTTAATGATACAAACCCATTTTCTTCTTTCAGATGTTGATATAGCTCAGCTTTATTGTTGACAGAGTTCAAACGACCAATAAATTCCTGGTGCTTCCTAGAGTTGGCAGTATTAATTCTGTTGCTCCATAAAGACAGCAAAGACATTGGCCCTAAAATTGCAAGTAAAGAGTCCAAGTGATGTAAACATTATGTCATTATAAAGCCTTAGAAGAAGTAGTTACAAACTACACCAGTCCAACATATTAAAAGCACTAGCATTAAACAATCTTATAACAGAAGCTAAATAAATACAAAACATGCAAAATGATGGCACTTGAGTACGAGACTGACTTTGCTCCATATGCAGAATCTGAACATTAATTCAGCCATTGTGCCAGATGATAGCTCACACCAAGGAAGAGAAATCAGTGAATACTGCCCATTTCAACAACTATACTGGTTAGGAATGTTTCTATTTATTAGTCAGCAGGAGACAGTGATTTCTGATACCTGTCCTTTAATAACATTTCTGACATGCAGTAGCTCAAATACCATGAGCAGCAATTTGTCCATCCCCCGATGAACGCAAGCGCCTATTAATAGACCCACACAGAATCTTGGCATCTCTCTTTTTACATAGGCCTGTGGAGGTTAACATATTTATCAAGAATTTCTCAATATTCAGTGTTTAAATAAAAATTATCCACACTGACTTAGCTTTCACTCCAAGAAGATTCATCTCGTTACTTTAGAAAATACAGGCTGGTAAACCAACTTCTATCTTCAAAGGAAATAACCTGTTGCAATTCTTCTGATTTACCTTTTGCCTTTTCAACTGTGGGTATTTCATCCATTGTAATAAGAGGCTTTTTGTTGGGTGGCTCAGGAGAATCAGGGGAATCTTTGATAACTTCAGCTTCTGCTAGTTCTTCTTTTTCACGATCTAGAAGACCTTTTAATCTTTTTGAGAGGGAAGGAAAATGGTGAAGAAAAATATGGTAGAGCAACAGATATGTACCACATATGCAGCACATCAATACCATTCTGTACTCCTCAAAGTTATACACAACCCATAACATAAGAAAATTTCCTATGAGCCCTTGGAATAAGTGAAAAACAATGGAGAAAACTGGCCAAATAATCCTCCGGATAAAGCTTTAACTTATCTTAAAATATAATTTCACAGAAGTTAGCTGTAGTTATTGAGACAGTTGATCAGAATTTTGAAGGAAAGATTAAGTAACAATGAATATATAAAAATACCACACAACTTTCTATTATCTTCTCTACATGGATTCAGACCTATTCTTCACCAAAATCCTTTTATCTCAGTTCCCATTTTTGTTCTGCATGTGAAACTAAAAGCAATTGTAGGAATAGTTTAATCACACACAGAAAGGCATGAAAGGTCACCAGCATGGTGGCAATGATGTAGGTGAAAAGGTCCTCCTATGCTAAATGATCGTAGCAAGCACAACAAATTTGCAAATTAAGCTTACTACTATGAGGGGGTTTTTTATCTCTTCAGAATAGTAGTCTGAAAGATGGAAAACCAGAAGAGGCTGACAGATACTTACCACTCAGACTAGTTATAATGAGTTACAGACAGTTAGGTATATGGACAATCAATCCTGACATTCAACTAAAGAGAATCACACACAGAATCTTCTAGGTTGGAAGGGACCTTAAAGATCATCTTGTCCAACCATCAACCTAACTGACAAAAATAGACACCCACACAACAAACAAGAAGCATCACCATCACTAAACCATACCTCCCAGCACTACATCAACCTGTCTTTTGAACACCTCCAGGGATGGGGCCTCAACCACCTCCCTGGGCAGCCCATTCCAATGCCTGAGAACCCTTTCAGTGAAAAAATTTTTCCTAATATCCAGCCTGAACCTCCCCTGGCGCAACTTGAGGCCATTTCCTCTTGTCCTGTCACCTGTGACTTGACAGAAGAGACTGACCCCCACCTCTCTACACCCTCCTTTCAGGGAGTTGTAGAGAGCAATAAGGTCTCCCCTCAGCCTCCTCTTCTCCAGGCTGAATAACCCCAGCTCCCTCAGCCTCTCCTCATAAGACTTATTCTCCAGACCCCTCACCAGCTTTGTCACCCTTTGTTCTCCCTCTTTGAGAAGAGTCAAATCAATCTCGACTGTTTATCTACTTGAACGCTAAACTATCTACAGCTCAAAGGAAAATAACTGCTTGTCCTGAGATTTTAGTCATGCTTCATATTTCTGTAAAGCAATTTAATGTCTAACAGGTGATGTGGTTACAATAAAATCTAACTCTTCAAGCTGCAAAGCCCTGCTAAGTGGTCAACAACTTGTCCAAGAACCATACTGCTTGTAAAATAGCTTAGTTTGAAAAGTCTGACTAGTAGGCACTACAATAAAATGCCCAATTCCCAAGCTTGGTAATGGTGACTGACCCACAAAACTGTGGGATCCACTCACTGGTATTAAGCCAAGGTTACAAGCATGAATACATCAAATTGAAACCTGCAACTGTTTCACTGTGATTCCTCTCCCTTGGAAAGGAGGGCAGGACAAAAATTATTATGCTACAGCTTTAATCCACTTTAGAAACTTTACCTTTCTGATTCTTGCCATGGCTTATCCGATTCATAGTCTTTGCCCAACTTCTCCGACTTGTCTTCTTTGTCTTCTCTCTTTCTACCTCGTTTCTTGCGCTCCTCTTCTTCTGGGGGTTTGCTTCTGCAAGCCATCAAACATTCCAAGACTCGCTGGTGTTTATCAGAGTTGTTTATGTGTGCTCGTACAAGGGTCTCCAGTTCATTCCACATAATCCGATACTGTTCATCTCTAAGAAAGGTCAGAAAGGACATATTACATATAGGATTACCTAGATCATTAAACCACTGAATAAATTAAGGTTAAAAAACAGACCTTAAGAAACAGAAAAACAAACGACCCAACCCCCAAAATAATCCTGAACAGATTCTCTGTCCTCTTGTACTGGAAATCTATCCACCTGGGATTACTCCATCCTTTCAACTTGAGAACACATTGTAAGTAACATTTCCCAATTGACACCCAGAGTTAAGTTTAAATTGAAACAGGCTACGTCCACTGAAATCAAATTCTTCACTGCCACAAGATCTCACTGCCAAGAGAGACTTTTGAATCCTCTCAGGTGTTTGTTAACTATGCAACGTCAGGCTATGCAGAGAGCCACTCATGTACTCACATACAAATTAATTACAAATTAATTTCATCCTTTGAATAAAAAAAAAATTTAGAAAGAGTTGTACCATGCTACTGTAAATAACTCCCAGTCATGTGGGCAAATCTTCTGTAGCTGAATTTCTTTTCAGCCAGTTCTTGGAAATACTATGCACACATCACAATGACTGAGATACCAGGATATTCTATGCTTGTTTTAAAGCAGTAGCCCATATTTTAAATAAATGCTTCAAAAGGATTTGACTATTCTAATATAACCCAATTTTAAGCATTATTCATTTATAATTTATAATTCATTTTATTAATATGAAGTTATTCCACTCTCACTGTCCTAGCTCATACCAATCTCTTACCTCTCTTGATGCTGCCATATTTTTTAAACAGACTCACAATTCTTATGTAATAAAATGATACACTTTTTCCTACCATACAGCAATATCAGTCCTGTGATAGCCCTTAAATGACGCAGGCAAAGTATTCACAGCATTTGCTTTGTGTACACACAGCATTTAGTTTACTACATATTACATTTGGCCAAATTTTAAAAATTTGAAAACATGAAAACAGTGTCAAGAGAGTATTTCTGAAAAAAGTCCAGCATCAACAAAAAGAGATATCCATGTAACCTTTTTGGACCCTTTCCTCTGGTGCCAACTGTTGAAATTGGCAGCGGATCATTTTTCCTCTCCATGTCTACCAAATTGTATATTGTTTTTTGACAATTCAGAACATCCTCATCAGTCATTGCTTCTTTTACAATCACACTGGCTAATGGCACTACCTGCAAGACAAAACAAAAGTCAACAACGAGAAATTCTGTGTATGTCACAGGAGAGAAATAGGAAGAAGAAAGATATTAAAGGCAAGGGAACCATGGAACAACATGTAACAAAACCACCCCCTCTGATCCTCAAGTTAGTAAATAATAACTCTGATCAGGTATAAGCAAATGCACATTTCCTTTACCCAGCATCACTGTAGCTGTCAGGTTAAATATTCCACCCTATTTAGATGGGATTCCACTAATATATTGACATTAAATCATTAAATGGTTAGAGTTGGAAGGGCCCTTAGAGATCATTGAGTTCCAAGCCCCCTGCCATGGGCAGGGACACCTCCCACCAGACCAGGCTGCTCAAAACCCCATCCGGCTTAGTCTTGAAGGCCTCCAGGAATCCACAACTTCCCTGGGCAACTTCTTCCAGGGCCTCATCACTCTCATAGTGAAAAATTCCTTCCTAATATCTAATCTAAATCTCCCCTCTTTCAGTTTAAATCTGTTACCCCTGGTCCTATCACTACACTCCCTGACAAAGAGTCCTTCCCCATCTTTCCTGTAGGCCCCCTTCAGGTACTTGTATTCTGCTATAAGCTCTTCTCCAGGCTGAACAGCCCCAACTCTCTCAGCCTGTCATCATAGGATGTCAATGTGGGAACAACTACAGCTGCAGTCCTGGTTCCTGGATGGCCCTGCTCTGTTCACTGATGGTGTGGGAGAGCTGTCAGACAGGAACAGGTTAGTTTTCTTGCTTCACTGGGGATGGGGAAGCAGCTGTGTGTCAGGAGACCTTGAGGATGAA